GTTTGTTTGAACTTTAGCTTTCAGTCAACTGTGGAAAAAGATCACTCATATGAACCACGACTTTCTTTGAGTTTAAGCTATAGCTCGATCCAACACCTGATAAACTGTCTGCCTCCGGTTCATTTCTAACTTGATGTTATACATTTCTAATTCAGCGACCACACACACACACTGCAGATCTAAACCATGATAATATTTCAGTCGTATAGACAGGATCTGTAATTTGGTCGGACACTTTGATTTATGAAAAATACGTGGAAATAACTTCATAATTTGGCCAAACAGAAGTGCAGTTAAGTTAATGATTTCAATAAATCTGTGATGAATATGTATGGACTACTCAGTTTTTGATTATGAATCTTGCAATGTAAAAGCAGCCGTGTTAATCAGACTCTGCAGGATTTATGTCCCATTCTTAAAAACATGATCTGTAGCCCTCAGATGCCGAGTCATCGTTCTTTTACTGTATGACTGATCTGCTCATGTTTAAGCTCTTCATTTTCCCTGAAACAAACGAGACGATGGAGAATGAAGGAGGTTTCATATCATATTCATCACAAACTGAATGCGTGTAGGCTCATCCAGGATTAATAACACAAGAGACCGGGCACCTTTCAGCTGAAGAGGTATCTGCTCGCTTCTTACTGATATCTGACACCAGTACGAGCTTTCTGCCACTCGCTGGCTCAAAGTGCAGTGACCCGCCCACCATGACATCATGTGCATACCCTCTGTAGAGGTGATGGACGGTTCATTAGCTCATACAGGGAAACATCTGATCCGTCTAATCCAGCAGCAGTTAAAGACGGTAGATTTTGTGTTTAGCTGGAGAAATGTGAAAATGGAACGACTTAATTTACCGTCAAGGTTTTCTGCCGTGTTCCTGAAATTCAAAGTGACAGAATAAAATAGCACGGTCATCATGTACTCTTAACCAGATGATATGACGTGACATATTGTTAAAGAACCACCGTAAACTATCAAGGTTTTATATTATTTTAAACCAACATAGAAAACATATTTTTAGCCTTCAAATAAAAACAATTAGTCAGTCTTGTTTATGATTGGTTGCTCTGAATTTAACAGGCACTGTTTTATAACTCTTAGTTCAAATAAACCTGGGTGACAGTCTCAGTTAAGCAAACTAATTAGAAGTGAAGTGTGTTGTTATTCTTCCTGCCACGTCGGCTTTTTCGATGGGCTCATCGTTTCTAAAAGTGTTGCATGTTGTTGAGTTAACTGCATTTAGTCAGTTCTGATCACACTCTGCTCATTCACAGATGGACATTAACACCAGAAGGGAAGTCATGTCTTCAACATGGCCAGCGCTTTCTCTTGGCTCAACCCATTTATCTTTGTCCACAATGAATTTTGCTGTTCATGCCAAATAGAGATTCAAAAGAGCAGACAGGTTTGAATTGAACCATACAATCAGTAATATCCTATCTGCCCTTGTGTTTTGTCAAAACAGTTATCATCAGCGCAATTGCATCATCTTTATGGTTCTGCATATATATTATGTGTTGTCTTTCTCAGTATATTTGTGCCCCTGAAAGCTACCATGTCTTCACTTATTAAATAATTCTTGCCCCCGCCTGGTTTTATATGGCTGAGTCATGTTTGAAGTAACCCTTGGTTGATATCTCAGGGCTGAGGTCCATTCTGCTGTTTTGCATGTTTCCTCCAGTGTACCGCTTCAAGGCCTTTTTTTCTTCTTCTTCCTAAAACAGTTCAACTAATTGACGATCAAATTCATAGTTACCATGGAGATGGTGGTGACTGATTTCAACTCGTTACTGTCACAGCAGAGTTGAACATCGGGCAGAACTGGTACCGCTGGTTTCTGGGGCGAGCGGTGCTGCTGAGTGCTGATGCGTTCTTAGTCAGCAGTTACTCAGCAGACTGCGGGGAAATGCATCAAACCTTGAGCATAACCGCAAATGTCAGGGGAAGTTTGGCTATGGGCATGCACAGCCTTTTTTAAAGACATGACATGAGAATGCAGGGAAAACCCGATCACCACTGCCAGCGTGCTACCTTGTAGTGTTTTTATAAGCACATTTTTTTTTTTTATATGCACCAGTCAAAAGGTGATTTTATGTGTTTGCACGTTACTCAGCAGTTTTTTAATTAGTCAAAATGGGCCAGGATTTTGCCTTTGGCAGAGGATGCAGAGGGAGGGAGGGTGGGGGGAGGTGTTCTGTGCTCAGTTGTTCTTGCCTATCAAACATAAATACACACACACACACACACACACACACTGACTCTCTATTTCTCAAGGTGACTGTAGCATAGACTCATTCCTGCTATTAAGGGGGCCGCTTACCAGTTTCAAGTCACACTGCCCTCTAACCTAATGTGCAGAGACTCACTTACACATGGTCTCTCACACACAAACACACACACACACACAAGCATACACACACTCTTTTTTTTTTCGTCCCTCATGCTTTCTTTCCCCTCTCAGATTAGGATACAGTCTAGCACTCTGGGGGGGGTGTCTGCTGTCTAAAGCCGGCGAGGCAAGAGAACATATTAACCCTTTTCACACATACAACACTTACCCTAAGACATGTGATCCTGTTTGTGCTTAAAGGACCTTCAACCTTCCTGTTAATTCGTTGTGACAAATGACTTGCGTGAGGGAAGAATATCAACCAATTCTGAGAACACACTTCAGAAAATTAGCACATTTAGCCTTTTGATATATGCCGAGGCACATGCAGGCTTTCACACACACACACACACACACACACACACACACACCCAAATCTGAAGCTTAACACATGACCTGCCCCTCCCTTCACTTCTCCCGCTCTCTCAATTTCTCATTATCATCTATTTTGTCCGTCCTTAGGTGTGTCAGCATTTTCACACACACTCTCTCTCTCTCTCTCTCTCTCTCTCTCTCTCTCTCTCTCAGAGTTTCTACACAGTCACCTAAGGCGTTGAGAATGACAGAAAACAAGAAGAGATGAAAACATGTTAGGGTAATAGGTTTCATGTCTTTCCATCCTTTTCTGCTAGAATGTGTCTTTTTTTTTTCTTCCAAAGAACCAATTTTGATTTTTAAAACTGTTTTTTTTTTTTTCTAATCCAACTGAAAACACCCGACCGTGTTCTTAGCTTTGTGCACCATTTAGCCCCTTCTCATTCTGGCTACATCCAATGGGATTACAGCGAGAAGCCAACCCAGAGCTCGATGGTTGAATTATATTTCCCATCTAGCAGAGCCTTAGGATCCCCCCCAGTAAGGGCTAGATGATGTGTCTGGGGAGATAAGGTGGTCTTGTGTCGTTCTCCATTGTCATCAGCAGCAGGACAAAGAAAGAAAGATGAGTTATTTTCAGCTGAGATTGCTGCAAGCTCATTGCTGCTAAGTAGTTGTATCACTTTCAGGTAGCAGCCGAATGGTCTTGTAATGTTTATTTTTTCTGAAACCAGCAGATATTGTCGGCAACAACAAAGCATCAGAATAATGATCCATTAGTTTGACAGCTACTACTTTCTGTTTGTTTTCCCTTCAGACAATTCCCCTCCTCTGTGTATCACAAGAATCTACAAAGTCTTTTGATTAGTCATGTCTTCTCATCTTTTTGAATGCATTTCCATCTGAAACTATTGATCTGTCCCTCTTTAATGCACTCTTTTTCTCTCCCCATCAGTAATCACTTGTTTTTTTGTTTTTTTGCCACACTGACACACATGCACTTAATAATTGTTGATTAACAAGTTTGCCTCATGCTCAAAACATCTTCAAAAAGACTCTCTCTAAAATCAAACTAAACAAAATATGACTGTGTAATTATCCTCTATATCCATATGCAATAGAAAAAAACTATCTGGTTGTTTATTCAAAGATCATTGGCACTTTGTGATGCACTCAACTACGACAGGGTTAGATCTTTCTCTCACACAGCCGATACACTACAAACATGTAAATAACGTCAGTAAAAACACACAACTTACTCCTGTGTGAAAGACTCCATCTCTGTTCCATACATGTAATTTTTATTATTTATATCAAGTCCAGAGAACAATATTGACTTTGGCAATGAAAAAAAACAAAACAGAAAGGAAACAACAGTAATGGTTAAAAGTCATTAATCATGTATTGGCTCTGTGTTATAGGCATTTGTTTGTGTGTCTGTCTTTTGGGTTGTGTGCTTGCCAGTGTGTTTGTGTGTGTTCAGTGCTGTGTGCTTCTTCTTTTTTTCCCCCCGCCTGGTTGTCATCAACGTTTTGCTCTTCTAATCAGGACGATCTTTTGTCTACAACAAAAAATCACACGTTTTGTATTTTGTATTTGATCCTAACATCATTCTCCAGAGAACTTTGAAAAACGGTAACACATGGTGCAACAAGTAACATCATTTTATATATATACTATATATATGTACTTTCAAGTTTTCTCTTGTCGTTTTTTTCTCTTTGATGGACGTTTTTAAGAGTCTCTGGTTTGTGCCAGTGGAACATTAGTCCCAGTAATAGTTACACAACGTCTTCCATTGAAGAGTTAATATTGTCAGTGGCTTCCATAGTGGTTCTGTCATCTTTTAAAACCGCTCCCTCTCTGAAAACATTCACTGCTTAGATTTAAAGTGAATCCATGTGGCACAAAAAGTCTGAAATCACCCAAGAAAATAAAAGCTAACGCTGATTCCCCTTTTTATTTAAAGGCTGCTGCTTTCTGACCATGGGAATTCTGATGTCTTCTAGATTTGTAGAAAATGTCTTTGAACATGCCCTATGCGTCACCATCCATCGACCTTAACACCGCCACTTGTTTTTTTAGAAATTGAGGATATTTTTCCAGTTTCAACATGTCCAGAAAGCGCTTGACCTTTTTAAACACAAATGGAGTCTGGTTGACAAACATTCAGATACTAGTCGCACACAAACACACACACACACACAATCAAACATTCACACATCCTGTCCCTGATCCATCAATGCATGCACACTTATGCAGCCATTAGCATTATTCATTGATTTGGTCCATTATCATTCGATATCCTATACGACGGTGTCTTTCAGAAATGCACAAAGCGTACATGTTCCGTCATACACCGCTGTCTCCATTTTGTAATCCATATCGACTCCCATTGTAATCCCAATGTCTTTCTTTTAATAATGTCTGTGCTCCGCTCGCTCCTTCCAGCCCAATATCGATTGATCATGTCCAATGCACCCAGCTCTGTATTTATGCTCCCATAATCCTTAGGCAGGGCGAGCCAAAAATCATTGTCCAGACACAGAGGACACATAAAAGTCACATTCATTGTGTTTTGAAAAAAAAAAAAAAGAGTCTCGAGATGGCCGTCACATTTGGAGTCAAGAAGCAGGATAACAAAGCAGGACTATGCTATCCAAATCTATTTACCATTGTATTTTTATTTATTTTTTATTTTTAAGAGGAGCGTCTTTTTCTTCAGTATCACCGGTGTGTTGTTATTTTTGATCCAGCGTAAATCCTTCTGTTGCTGAGGGGGCTGAGACTCTGGAGACTTGAAGTGTTTGCAAAAGTCTGGTTCCATTAATGTAAAGGATTTACTGGGATCTATGCTGAGCCCTCACCATCTCTATCACCGCTCTCTATCCTTTGTTCTGTTGCTTTCTTGATGTTTTCCCATTTGATTATGCCTCTCCTTGTATGACTATATATATCACTCACATTGTCTCTTCTTACAACCTTCACTCTGTTTTTTTTTTAAAGTTTAGTTTGTGTGCTCCTACTTTGTTTTCTACCTCGTATCACTCATGTTTTACTGATACAGCTCTAGCTCAACCTTGAGTATTTAATGACCATTTTAAAACTGTCACCAGTTATGTTTCTCCCACTCTTCCTCCCCCTCCCCCCCTGTCTTATATTTCACCCATCACTCCTCAGGTCAGCTATAAAGAGACTCTTAAAAAGTCTTCACCTCACGATCAGGTTCACTTTCCCCTCTCCTCTTCATTTTTCTTGACTTCTCCTAAGGAATAATCAAGGAGCTGCACAAATGAGACTCAAGTCTTTTACCTTTTCTGTCTCTCTGAACTCACAACTTTCACCTCCTCGTCTGCAGTCGCTTCCTACACCCTAGGTTTCCTCAAAATCCACCTCTCGTACAATCCTGCATCCCTCTTTAACTATGCTCTGTTCTACACAACGCTTTCCTCCAGTTCTTCAGCACTCCTTCCGTCCTTCCCCTTTTCCCTCCCCCTCTCTTTTACGCCGCTCGCTTTCCCAGTAACCCCGCTGTTGGAGTTGGAGTTGGTAGTGTTGTAAGCGTGGATGTATCCTCGCTGGAACCCGAAGCCCCCGGCACTTTCCGCCTCGTCGCTGTTCGTCGAAGACGCTGTGCTTGTCGTCGAGGCGCACTGCACGAGCATTCCATGAAGTGACTGGCTCCGCCTCGTCCAGATCACGCTCAGCCGCTTGGCGTAGCTGACGGCGCCGTAGTGCTTGGCGACAGAAGCCGCGGCGTCAGTTGCTAGGGCGACAGAGGAGCCCATATCCAACGAGTGCCGCCGTTTGCTAACAGTCCCACACGCAGGACTGTTAGCAGGGGATACAGGACTCAGATAGACCTGTGAGGATTTCCATTTGTCCCTGCCGCGAGACGAGATTCTCCAGTCCAACATCTCCGAGTCTCTCAGGGGCGCGGCCAGAGAGAAACTGGCACGGTTGGTCAGTTCGCGCTCCAGACGCGGGTTTGGGCGGGAGTGTGACTGACGGGGGAGGGTGGAGGGCGGGGAAGGGGAGTAGTAGAGGGGAGTTCTGTCACTTTCAAGAGAATACGGCGGCGCCTTGTCCAGCTTCCTTTGCCTCACCACCAGTGCCATCTCACTTCCTGCCCCCGTCGTCGTGGAAACCACGCCTCCAGCCGACAGAAAGTGCTCCAGGTTGACTTTAGGCTTGGGCCTGGGCTTTGGAGGGAGCTTTGGAGGCAGAGAGGCAGAATCAGTCGCTTCTTTCTCCTTCTCCTTCTCCTTCTCCCCTCCTCTTTTAGAAGGCAGGCCGTTGGGCAGGACCACCATCATCATGTCCCCCGAACCGTTCGATTGGTAGCACCCAGTGCCGTTCCCCCCTTTGTCCCCTCCCACACCTCCGCCCTGGCAGCAGGCCCCGCCTCCCGCTTCAGTGTTGCCGCTGTGACATATCATATGGTCCCCGTGGTTGCAAACGCGGTGCCGGACCATAAGCGCGACAGTGAACACGAGTAGAGTGACGACAACAACACCGCCAACCAGTATGGTGAGAGTCCCACCCAGGAAATGAGCTTGGAGAGAGCGGCATGCTGGGTAAACATCCTTGGTGGAGAATGTGGTGCAGCCTAGAACTTTGGTCGCTGCCAGGGATGTGGTTGTGTCATCAAAAATGGCGAGGACACACAGGTTATAGTCCACACCAGCGACCAAGTTCTTCAACAGGAAGCGGTCACTGGTCGATGGGAGAATTCTAAAAAAAAAAAAAAGTAGAGGTCAGTTAAATAAAGAAGCAAGCTGCGCACTGGATCTGTACTTGAATATAAAACATCTACAGTGACTCAAAGCTGAGCCTGAATACTCAAAGTATTGTGGTACTGGGGAGAAAGGCTTGAATATTGGAGAAGAGGCAGAGGAAAGGGGGTAAAAAGGGAGGCTAGAAACAGCGCGAGAGAGGATACTGCAGTGTGGGGAGAGAGGGAAAATGAGGCTATTGATGGAGAGCGCGCCCAGGGAACATGAAAAGAGAACTCTGTCTGCTCATTTGGAGCGCAGGGGTGTGTGTGTGTGTGTGTGTACTTGAATCCCTGAGAGAAGCAAATGCCAAGCCATTTTGTGGGACCTCACATTTAAAAAGAGGCCATTTTAGGTGTAACAGTCAGGGCTGGGATTACAGTAACGCTGGTTCACTGAGTTACGAGTGTGTCCATTGTTTTGACATCCGAAGTAAAGGTGTGTTTCGCTTTATTTTGATCGCAAAACGTGTTCCCGCATTGGGGCTGTGATACATGAGTGCCTGCGTGGGATAATAATGAGAGAAGAGCTTTGAATATGTCCTCGTTTAAAGTGTTTGAGCAGCCGTTAGAACGAACAATCAGGAGAGAGGTGAAAAATAGAGTCAGGGAGAGAGAGAGAGGGGGGGGAACAATGAAAAGAACAGAGCGGTGTTGGCTCTGCTTAAGTTTAGTGTTTGCCTCAATGTGTGCATGTGTTCAGTGTTGTATCTTTGACATATTACAGTAGTTATATATACAATACACTGTGTAGAAAACATACTGTGTGTATTTGTCATGGCAGTGTGTTTGTGTATGTGACATGCCAGGGTAAAGTGTGTGTGTGTGTGTGTGTGGGAGATTGCAGCACAGCTCAAGTGTCTGTCGCTGATGGGTATGACTTTGCCCTCTGCCTTCCAGCCCCGCTGTGTGGGCAGTGTGTGTGTGTTTGTGTGTTTTTGTGTTGATACCATGAATATTTTTTTTGCCAGTGATTTCTTTCTTCTTTACTCCCTTGCATTCAGTATCTCCAATTCCCTCTTTTTTTTTTCTCTCTCTCTCTCTCTCTCTCCCGTTTCTCACTGCGTCAAAGGGCTTATTTGTATCGTCTGTTGCTAACCAATCCAGCTCCGTTCAGACGTGAGCCACATCCTATAAATGCCATCCAGTGTGACTCAGACACCGAAGGAGCATCTGCAGAAGGCCCCTTACAATAGCCTGTTTTTAAATGCTTTCAAAATAAAGAGACCAAGGACTGCAACTGTTCCTTTTTTTTTTTCTTACATCTTGATTCGTGGCTGCTGTTACAACAGCGAGTTACAAATTAAATCCAGACCCAATCGATTGGGGTGAAATTGTTGCTAAGAGGGAATATGTTTCAATGAAATGTATCTACTTTTTTTTAGGTTTAAACGTGAACATAGTGAATTTTGACCAAATTCCCAGCAGTCTACCTTTTTGCATATGTTTAATTTAAGAATAAAAATACTTTTACACTTTTTTTGCATAGAACAGCAAATTGCAAACTCAGTTACACTGCCTTAACAAATCTCCAGTGATTCGAGGAGGGAATAAGAAACTCTGACGCAAATGTAGAGCTCCAAAAGCAGCAGAAGCTGTGAAAGCTGTGTATATCAGTACACTCCAAGTCCTACGATGATCTATAGACACATCGGGCGATTTCATTAAGAACAGCCTCATCCAGTGGTCATTAGGGCACTATAGACATCTCTCTGAAACTGTCACAAATTCACCAATTAGCTCATTCTCAGTGCTGGAGCAACTTCGGGACCAGGTGTGTTACCATGGCGAAGTCTCATTATTCAGCTCATAAGAGCAGTTCTGCTTGTGAAAGCATCTCTTCATGCCCACATTGAACACTCTATTTTCATGACCAGCCAACTTCCCGGATTTCATTTACAAATACACTAGTCATGTTTTTTTTTTGTTTTGTTTTGAAGAGGCACACACTGACATGCATTGCCTCGCTTGATCACAAAAGACGTCAAACAAGGCTTCTAAATTCAAGACACGGGGGAAAACGTCATGTGTTGTTATTCCTATTTGGAAAAAATAACCCAGAAAAAGCTGCTGTCCATTCTTACTCTTGCCGTGGTTGAGTATATTTCCTCTAACTGAAGAGGAACGGTCAATAAAAAAAAACTTTTAACCATAACAGATCAATAAAAAGACACACATTGGCTGTATTTCAGGCCCGACACATCACAGCAGTAACTCAACTTTAAAACCAAAGTGGCACAATGAAGGTTTCCAGTAAGCTTTTTTTTTTGAGATTCAGCAAAGAAATATGCATCAAGAAGAGCAATCGAAAGCGAAGAATTATAACCAAATATGATGAAAACCCGAAATGAAAGCCTGTCTTTAGCAATCAGCCACAGTGAAGGAGGGTGAATCGCCTCTGTAAAAGTCCACCAGTAAAGACAGAGGGTGCTCAATCACGTTTTCCCACATGAAATATGCAAGAAGCAGCACTCATAATACTGCTGCTGCCTCTGTTTCGGAATAAAAAGCCTTGGTCATATAATAGGCTTATAAAAGGCCTTGAGAAATATTACAGCAGTGTCAGTTCCTTCCAGAGCCTCTATATGTGTCTGTGTATAATTGATAGAAGCCCCTGGGCAGGGATTTGACCATCACTGTGGGGAGTCGTGTACTCTGCTGAGGGGCCGGCTCTCTCTTCCAAAGGTTATACTTTAATAGGCCTTCTCTTAACTTTGATATACTGATTCCTCTTTTTTTCCCATCTCCTTATCTCTTAATGACTCTGTTTGATTAATATTGCCATCGTACTGCTGCATGCTTTAAAGGATTCATCACAGAGTAAGAAGCTTTAATGCCATAGACTCTTTATAAATACAGTGCTTCTTTTCTTTCTTCTTCCTGACATGTTGTTGCATTATGATAGGGTAGGGTTTTTTTTTCCTCACAGTCCATACAATGTGAAATTAACTGGGACACTGCTGCAATCCAGCACAGTTGCTCCTACGTTGCATGACCATGGGCTGCACGCACACCTTGACTGAATCCTTGAATCATCTTTTCTAACCCTGCCATTCAGTGCCCCCTTCCTTTATTACCTCCATCCTTCCCTCTCTCCTTTTTTTTCTTTTCAGCTCATTGTCGATCTTCCCTCCTTCGGTCTATCCTCCTCATTCTCTCCGCTGTCATCTTTTGAATGAACAGATTTCCTTCTTTTTTTTCGCTGATCGTTCCTATCCTCTCGTCTCTCCTTTAGAAATCACCCGTCCTTTCTTTGCATTTACCTTAACCTGCAGTCTTTCTTTCCTCCATGTTTGACCTCTTTTATACCATTTGACTTACATTTTTTCAGTTCTGCTGATTCCCTCTGCACATCTCATCTCCTTCTTTGTCTCTCTCTGTCTTTGTTACCTACCTCTATTTCCGCAGCCAATCAGCTGTGATCGTCTCAAATCCCTCTGCAGCCCTCACTGGGCTCCACATGACCTGCTCGCCTCTCTGCTTCTTCTTTTTTTTTCCTGCAGTCATTGTACTATATCTCTATTAGCCACAGAGAGAGATATATAACCATGTACCGTTATTTAGCATCCAAGGTCACTCTGTTCCTTTCCTCTCCTCTTCCCTCTATCTGCCACTGCTCCTCCCTCCTCCTCATACTCTACACTCTTCACTTCCTTTTTCTCTGCTGTCTCTCCTTTTGCTCTCATCTTGTATTTCTCCCCCCCCCCCCCCTCCCCTCCTTTCCTATATCACCACTTTTCCCATTCTCCCGTCCACTGCTTCCTCCCTTATGAGATCGTGCATCACCTCTAGTTGTTTTTGCTACGCTGGCAGTGAAAGAAATGGGCAAGCAAACTCACTAAAATATACATAGACGACCCGGACACACACAAACGCATGCGTCTTTGACATGCTGATGTGCTGCGAATCGCTGCATTATGCATTTTTAACCATATTTGTATGCCTGTTGATATATGTACATGCAAGTGTGTAAGTCTATGTTCTGTTTGTAAACATTATGGACACATGAAATGATCTTCTCTAAATCCTTGGCGCTCTGGAGACAGTGTTCATGAATATAAATTGGCCTGCTCTAACTCGGACCACCAGACTGAGATGCATGAATTGATTGATACAATCAGTTCTGTCCCACAGCCGGGGGGTGCCGCTCCCATTAACTGAACCTGTGTTTGCAGACATTTGCATTGCGCTGTGTCACCTTAAATAGAAACGTGCGTCTGTGTCTCTGCCTCTAATTATTGTTAAACCTTGCAAAGCCGTGCACACACACAACCACACAGATGCAGGGAGAAAGTGAAAGAGGACAAGGGAGCGCTTTGTTCAAGCTGGTGACACGGAAACAAGGAGTCATTAGAACCCTCGAGAAAGGGAGAAGAGAGGAAAAGAGGATAAACCAGAGGTGGAATCGTGCCCCCTCTTTTCTCCAGTCTCCTCTTCTTGTTTCTCCATCACCTCCTCTTTTTCTGTCCATCTGCATTACCAAGTCTGACACCCAACAAGACCGGGCACAGAGACGGAGCAAGACGAGAAGGAACAACAAAGCAATTATCTCCTCTTCTGGCTGACATCTGTACTGCCCTCGTTTCCTTTCTTTCCCCATGTCATGTCCTTTCTTCCTTCACCATTTCCTCCATTTTTATTTTAAGTCCTGATTCTTTGGAGTGTTTACTGTCTCGTTGGCTGTCTCCTTCAATTTTTTTCTAACCTCTTCTTCTGTTTTCCTCGCTCTATCTTTCTGTCAATCTCTTGGATTTTGTTGTATCTCTCCTGTTGTCTTTCTTCCTTTTTCTTTAATTGTCACTCAGCTCGCCGTCATTTGGCCTAATTTCCCTCCACCGCCTTTTTCAGTTGTTTTCACACTTATACCCATTCTGTTTTATCACCTCCTTTGTGTCCCTAATTCCCCTGTATTTGTTTCCCCCCCACAGTTCCTCTACGTCTTATATTTAACGCTTTAAAA